GCTGGTTTGTCTGGATACGCGGATACTTACAAAAAGTTTTTCTGATGGGGGCTGGTTCTGATTGACCGGAGAAATCGGCACTAGATCGGAACATCCACCGGGACAATGGCTTCGCAGCTTATCATCCCTGAGTGGGGCCTGCGCGGGGCTGGCCAGCGTCACAAATGGAACGAGGCCAATCGCTGGTCTTTGCGGCGGCCGACGAGCCAAATTTATGGAGCAAACTGGGGTGTGCTGGATGGAGTCGACCTCTGGGTACACCCCCCTAACCACCGTGGGACAACTGAGCAGCATCATGCTCCCCCATTCCTCGACGTCTGCCCCTTCTCGGCGCTGGGCTGGCCGTGGGCTGTGGCTTGGGGGCCAGCGAAAGGTGGGCGCGTCTCCAGAAAGAGACTACGCGGGGCAAGGTCACAGCTCTTAGGTGGGGGTTCGGTGGTTGATGAACGAGGGACGAGGGGAAAGATTGGGATTGAACTGTGGTCTCTTAAATATTGGGCGGCCTGTCGTCCCGCGTTGGACTTGCCTCCTGTTCCTCCCTCTTCTCTTCTTCCCATTCGAAATTTGTGCCCTCTCTAATCCCAATCATCTTGCACGTCTTGCCATCGACCAGACACTTTATTGTGCCGTTCCACCACTGCCAATCCACATCCCAGACGCCAACATGCCTTATCCCGAGAAGTTCACTGGTTTCCAGGTCAAGGGCGCCGATACCTGGCAGGAGTTCCACAAGCAGGAGTTCGACGCCAAGCCCTTTGGTGACTACGACATCGACATCAAGATCGAGTGCTGCGGCGTCTGCTCTAGCGATGTCCACACCGTCCGTGGTGACTGGGGCGCGCAACCCTACCCCCTGGCTGTTGGTCACGGTAAGCTTTCATTTGGCTCTTTCTACGGCGGCGGCACGTCTCTAATGAACCATCACAGAAATTGTCGGCAAGGCAATCAAGGTCGGCTCCAAGGTCACCACCGTGAAGGAGGGCCAGCGCGTCGGCGTCGGCGCCCAATCGTGGGCTTGCCTCGACTGCAAGCAGTGCAAGAACGACAACGAGACCTACTGCAAGGACCAGCTTGACACTTACGGCGCGACATGGCCCGACTCTGGTGTCGTCTCCCAGGGCGGCTACTCTTCTCACGTCCGCACCCACCAGCACTGGTAAGTTGTCATCGACGGCACTCCCACACGTGCTGCTATTGAGGACAATGGCCACTTGAGGCTGACATTTTCACAGGGTCTTCCCCATCCCCGACGGTCTTCCCAGCGAGGTTGCCGCTCCCATGCTTTGCGCAGGCTTGACGGCTTACAGCCCCCTCGTCCGCAACGGCGCCGGCCCTGGCAAGAAGGTCGGCATCGTCGGCATCGGTGGCATCGGTCACTTTGGTGTGCTCTTCGCCAAGGCGCTGGGCGCTGAGGTCTGGGCCATCTCGCGCTCGCGCTCGAAGGAGGAGGACTCGCTCAAGATGGGTGCCGACGGCTACATCGCAACAGCCGAGGAGAACTGGAACGAGAAGCACAAGATGAGCTTTGACCTCATCGTCAACACGGCCTCGTCCTCCGAAGGCTTTGACCTCTCCACCTACCTCACCCTGCTCGCTGTTCACGGCAAGTGGGTGTCGGTTGGCCTTCCCGGCGGTGGCGGCTTCGAGGTCCGCAACCAGGACTTCCTGCCCAACGGCTGCTTCATCGGCAGCTCGCACCTGGGCAGCAGGAGGGAGACGCTTGAGATGCTGGATCTTGCGGCGGAGAAGAAGCTCTTCACGTGGGTGGAGAAGATCCCCATCAGCGCCGAGGGTCTCAAGACGGCGATGCAGGGCGTCGAGGCGTCCAAGGTGCGCTACCGATACTGCATGACCGGATACGAGGAGGCTTTCGGTGCGTAAAGAGACCGAGAACCAATGGTGCTGTGCTGTGTATAGGTAGCTGGGTGGGGTGACGAAGCGAATTAAAATGGAGATTTGACTGTTCACTGGCCTGGCCCGCCTTGTGTTGTTGGTGTCTGTCGGGTATCTGGGCTTTGGACGCTCGAAAACTCATCATCGGCTCGGGTCAATCAGCACCTTCTGTCCCAAACCAAGGATCAAGGACCCCTCATCCCCAAAGGAGACTAGTGCGGGGTTGCCCTTCTGTGGCTTTGGCCGCCTCAGAGAGGCGCGACCCGCTGGTATGGCGTCAAAGAGACCTGCCCCGCCTTGCGACCGTGTGACTGTGCAACTGACTGGCTGTGATTGTGACTCTTTCCTCGAGCTCTCTGGCTCCGGTGTGCCTTCCCCCCTCCAAAGGCCCCATCTGCAGTCGACTGCAATTTTGCAAAACCCCCACTCGTCACAAAGGCACCGAAAAAGGTCCAATCGAAGACACGGCATACACATCTCGTGCCTCGACCTAGATTCCTGCCTGTCCATTGCTCGGACTGGCTGCCAGACTCCCTCAGCAACGCGTCTACCACAACCACCACTCCCGCCGTCATGGCGACCGCCGAGCCAATTCTCCCCATCAAGGGTAAGAACAACGTCTTGGTCACTTCCGCCCTTCCCTATGTCAACAACACGCCCCATCTCGGCAACGTCATCGGTAGTGTTCTCTCCGCCGATGTTTTTGCGCGCTTCTCCCGCGCTCGCGGCAACCCGACCATCTTCATCTGCGGCTCCGACGAGTACGGTACTGCCACCGAGACCAAAGCCCTTGAGGAGGGCGTCGACCCGGAGACCCTGTGCCGAAAATACCATGCCGTCCATAAGGGCATTTATGAATGGTTCAACCTGTCGTTTGACATTTTCGGCCGCACTCCGACCGAGCAGCAGACCGAGATTGTCCAGGATATCTTCCGCAAGCTGTGGCAAAATGGCTACATCGAGGAGCGCGAGACGACCCAGCCCTTCTGCCCGGTTCACCACAGCTTCCTGGCGGATCGCTTTGTCGAGGGTGAATGCTCCCTCTGCGGCTACAACGACGCCCGTGGCGACCAGTGTGACAAGTGAGTTCCGCCGCCTCGCTTCTGTTTTTACCATGCAACCTCGTCTTTAATAAGATCAGCTAATAACTGGAAAGGTGCGGCAACCTTCTCGATCCCCTTGAACCCGAGCCTGAGGCCGGCAATGCCAAGCCCGACGATGACATTGCTGCGAAGGCCACCGGGTGGTTGATCAACCCTCGATGCAAGCTCGACGGCGCCAAGCCTGACAAGAAGCAGACGAAGCACCTTTTCCTCCGTCTCGATGCGCTCAAGGAGCCGCTCATTGACTGGTTCAAGAAGGCGAGCAGTGAGGGCGCGTGGAGCACCAGCGCCCAGACCATTACTCAGGCGTGGATCGACAAGGGACTGAAGCCGCGCGGTATCACGAGAGATCTCAAGTGGGGTGTTCCCGTTCCTACAGATGTTACTGGCGAGGACTATGCGGCCAAGGTTTTCTGTAAGCTGCTCTGAGGGCTTGTTTTATCACATTTCACTGCTGACCCATGCGGTAGATGTTTGGTTCGATGCCTGCATTGGCTACGTCTCGATCACGAAGAACTATACCGACGGGGCCGACCTCGCCGGCAAGAAGTGGGAGCAGTGGTGGAAGAACCCGGATGAGGTCAAGCTGGTGGGTGATTTTGCAATCTTGATGTGAAGCGCGCGGCTGAGCAACGTCACAGTACCAATTCCTCGGCAAAGACAACGTCCAGTTCCACAGCACCGTCTTCCCCGCGTCGCAACTCGGCACCAATGAGAACTGGACCAAGGTTCACAAGATCTCTGCCACTGAGTAAGTTCGTCGAGTAGACTGCAGAATAGGTGCTAACGTTGATAGGTACCTCAACTATGAGGGTGGCAAATTCAGCAAGTCGCGTGGTGTCGGTGTCTTCGGTAACCAGGTCCAGGAGACTGGCGTTCCTTCAGATGTCTGGAGGTATTACCTGCTCTCGCGCCGGCCGGAGGTTCGTAGTCGCGATCCACTGAGCAATATGATCTTGATGTTGACCATATCACAGACGTCAGACTCGGAGTTCATGTGGCAGGAGCTGGTAGATGGCAACAACAACGAATTGTGCGTGTACCCGTACCGTGCACGCCTCAATTTGAAGTCTAACAACCTTTCGCAGGCTGAAGAACCTCGGAAACTTTTGCCAGCGCGTCATCAAGTTTGCGCAGGCCAAGCTTGACACTACCGTTCCCGATTACACCAAAT